ACCACTGGCTCTGCACCCCTTTACCTAAATTCATTACTTTAGACTTGTGCCCCTCTAGAAGCTTGCGTTCTGCAAGTGAACGTCGCTTTACTGTGCCATCCCAAAGAAGCACAAAATCACTTTCACAGACTTTTACATTAACTGTTCCCTCCTGGTGGAATGACCTGCTCAACTCAATCCGAGCAGCCGAGTCCATAACCATCTTCAAGAATCGGCTAAAAACACATCTCTTCCATCTTTATTTGACCCTCTAACTCTAGCACTCTCTATTTTGATTCTATATTTTTTTTTTTTATTGTCCCTTTTAGACTTGCACTCTTTTCATTTACTGCTTGTTTTCTTGAAAAAAAAAACTAGCTTCTCTAATCTTTTTATATTCAGTTTTTTTTATTATTATACTATTAACAAAAGCAAAAAAGGCCTCTAACACTAGCTTGCTCTATTCTATCGGTTTTCTTTTATTTATTATATCATTTTAAAAAACCTTGCTACGTGTACTGCGTTAAGCTGAGACTTATAGCACTTGCATATCATTGCTCTTTTGTTGATTTTTATTGCTTCCATTGTCCTCATTTGTAAGTCACTTTGGATAAAAGCGTCTGCTAAATGACTAAATGTAAATTTTTTTTTTTTTTCTCTTTTTCATAAGAGTACTATAGCAGTATATTTGTATTGTAACAATGTGTGAGAGTGTGAAAAAAATGCTACTTTGGCTTTTTGCTATATTCAAGTACTATGGTATTCATGTGGTATTCTTAGGTATTACCATAATTCAAGAGGTCAAGATTTTGCTGGTTAGCATGACCCTGTTAACCCCTGCTGGTAGATATCAGAACTACACTAACTGCACTCTGGTAACTACATCAGTATTGTATCTTTCACCACTGGCATCTATTCAAAGATATTGGTGTATCACTACATAGGCCTATATGTTAACTATACTAAATACAAATGTTAACTTGTATATGTTATAAATATATGTTAACTTTCATATATAGTGTGTGTGTGTGTGTTACACTATATATACACATAAGTTTTACCGGTTTTTGAATGACTTTTGGTGCTTTTCTGTGGTGTTACAAATAGCACAGCCAAAAGAAAGATCATCTTGCTAGTTTCAATGATATTAACCTACTGTACCAGGTGAAACACTGTTAGGCTTTAGCTTATTTTCGGTGCTTAAAAAAAACTCTCAGAGCCTCTGCACATACTTTAAAAGGACATTTTATTGCAACACAATACATGCTATTCTTTTTAAGAGTTGCGAAGGTTAAAAGTCTCCAATCAGTGCAATATAAATCAAATGTTGTCACAGCAGACAAGTAACAGTTGTAAATGGCGAGCAGAGACCCATCAGAGCGTGCGGTATACACCGTCCAACACTGTGAGATTTCCCACCAGAGCTCGTTCACATTCCTCCACACCTCATCTTGCTAGTTTCAATGATATTAACCTACTGTACCAGGTGAAACACTGTTAGGCTTTAGCTTATTTTCGGTGCTTAAAAAAAACTCTCAGAGCCTCTGCACATACTTTAAAAGGACATTTTATTGCAACACAATACATGCTATTCTTTTTAAGAGTTGCGAAGGTTAAAAGTCTCCAATCAGTGCAATATAAATCAAATGTTGTCACAGCAGACAAGTAACAGTTGTAAATGGCGAGCAGAGACCCATCAGAGCGTGCAGTATGCGTGCAACACTGTGAGATTTCCCACCAGAGCTCGTTCACATTCCTCCACACCTCAGGCTTTCATTTTCCTGTCTGCAGAACCTGAGGTTTAATTAAATGGCAGCGCTCCAGAGAACAAAGTGAGAGAGAGGGGACAGAGGGAGGAGAGGAGCAGGTGTTTTCTTCACCCATCGTTTTGGCCACCTGAAACACAGCCGGCATAAAGGCGCCCCTCTGACTAAGAGTCATAAAACACACAAACACACACTATTATTCACACACCTCTCCAGTCCAGCAAGTTTATCTTTAATTGCTGCAGAACAATAAGCTATAACAAGTCATATTTTGGTCAAAATGAAAACCGTGTCAGCATTTATTCAACCTCATGTCATTTCAAACTCTTGTGAAACATAAAAAGGCAGGATGCACTCAAATTAGACAGCAACGAGTGGCTGTCAAACTGTAAGGATAAGACGGCAGCCAGAAGACATTTAGTTACTCTCCATTAACGAAAAACAGACAACCATGGCTTGTTCTTACCTCCCCTGCTGATTCATGTCACTTTTAATGAATGAAGGTTAAGGCTGACACTAATATTTTCAACTTTCCAATCACGTTGACCTCTGAACTTTGCTCTCAGGGGAGTATCTCAACAAAACTGGCTGGGGTTTGACTTTGGAAGTCTAGAGTCCTCCTGCTAATGCAACCGAACTCTCATTCACTTCCAAACAAGAACCCATTGCACACGGCAGACCAAAACGAAAGAAGAGAGAGACAAATCTCACGACAGAAGGATGAAGGAAATGCCACCCGGCTGTCACATACTTTCTTTATGAAAGAAAGAGAGAGGGTGTCTGTGTCAGTGTATTAGTCTCTAGTCTTCTTGACCGAGGCCTTAGTGACCTCCTGGTTGCCAGGGATTTCTTTTAAAGAGTGCGATTGCTGTGGTAACGCCCCGTTACACCCTTACACACTCAGAGCAGGTCAGTGACTAAACTAGGGTTGTTCTTATTTTACAAGATGGATATGTTCTAGTCACATGTTTTTCCTTTCAGATAATCTGCTGAGTGACAGTGAGATTGTTTGATAAAGTCCAGAGGAAGCCGTGTTGTGTCTAAAACACAGTTCTGATGTGGCATATTCATCTACTTCAAACAGACGTGACCAGACAGGCCTGATCTTAACTGTGATGTGGTTCTTAGCACTTTTTCACCTGTCCAAGCTGGACTGTTCAGGATGAGCCGAGTCATTGTTTTGTGCACATGAGAGATGGTGAAAATAAAACTGTAAAATAACAAATAAAAGTGAGTGATTCTTGACAATACAAAACTATTTATTGCATGTGGTTTCTAGGTGCTTATAGGCCCAAATAAAAAGAATATGAAAGGAAGTTTATGCCTTAGAGGGAAAAATAAAACCAGTAACTGAGATTTTTTAAATTATATATTTCTAACTTGTATTCTTTATACTCTAGTGGAAAAGAGCCCACCACTAAGCCTCTATGATATTCTGATTTAGAAAGTCTATGAGATTTTTTCAGCTGTTTTGTATGTGTGTGTTTCAACAAACAATACTAATAGATTATGAGATAGTGAGGAGCATGTTGATGTGAAAGAGACAAAAGCACACTCAACTTTTGTCTTCCCCCTACACAAACACACCACTTGCTCGACGTGTCAGACCCCTCAATCCACACGTTAATAATTACAGCAGGATCTCAACACCTCCGCATTAATACAGACAAGGAGACAGATCCTGCGCTAAACATCCACCAGCATCCTGCAGCACGAACAATAAAGAGCAGAAAATCCTCTTGAAACCATACTCATATTAAAGGAAATAGCTAAAGATAGGACCTCAGATTATTT